TGGAAGTTGAACTAATTCATTTGACTCAATAGATTTGCAACCGATATTCTGTAGCAGCGTTCTTCACCATCATATTTTGATATTCATTGTTCTCGTCTGCGTAGAGCTTCACCGCAAATATTGAAGCGTTACCGTAGCAATTGTTGCCACTTCCTAGAATAATTCTTGCCGTAAATAAGAATTTTTTGTCGCGGCTGATAGATTATGATGTATCATCATTTCAATTTTTCAGCTTCGTTTGCTTGTTTAACTAGTTCATTTGACTCAATGGATTTGCAAAAGATATTCTGTAGCAGTGTTCCTTAACATCATCATCATATTTTGATATTCATTGTTCTCGTCTGCTTAGAGCTTCACCGAATGTATTGAAGCCTTAGCGTAGCAATTGTTGCCACTTCCTAGAATAACTCTTGCGCCTGATACATCCTGATATTTTTTATGTTACTCTGCTTCTTTTAAATGAGAGTCTTTATTAATTTACAATGGATGTCAGATCAATTATTGTATTTTTTTAATATTTCATCTGATTACCTTCTTTCTGCAATTAATGCAGATTTTAATTCTCAGAGTTGAATCACAATACCGATGAAAATCTTGACATAAAAGGTGGATGATCCTAGTTTCATATTTGCTAGTTTACTAGTCCACATCATAGTCAAACAGCATACGTTAACTTTCGCCATTTTTAGCCATTTTTTTCTTCCATTTCTTAGAACAGAATAATAAATTAGACTTTCCGTCCCCCCTACAGATAAGGTCTCCAAAGTTTCCGCCCCTAATAAAGGGAGTTAAATTTCTGTAGAATTCGCCGAATTACATAACAAAACATAACTGAACCCTAGAAAATTAAACTTTCATCTTATAAACTATCAATTTTTGAGTCAGTTTTGTGTTAGTTTCAAAAATTGAAAATGCTAAATTACTAAACAATTATTTATATTTCTAAAGAGTATTTTTTATGCACTACGCTACTATTTTTTGGGAAAATAAAGAAGCAAACATTGTTCTGTCAATTCGCAATTGAATAATTCGTTGAAGTAATTTAGTTACTAAGGATGCATGAAAAATCTATAGGTTGGATCTCAAATACAATAAATAGGTTAGAGATCAAATACTAATTCTAAATGAAATAGAAAAAGAAAGAAATATCCTTAAAATAGTACTAGTTTCAGAAAAGGCCTACAAGAAGTTTAAAAAAATGATTTATTTCAAAGGAAAAGCAGTATTAGGTTTGTCATTCATTTCAATAGTTTCTAACTATACAATAAGTGTATTTAATTTCAATAAAAAATATATGATTTATTTTCAAGATAGGTATATACAGCCAAATTATTAGACTCATTATAAGATTCTATGTAAATTCTTAATTATCAGGTGAAACTATACAGCTTTATTGTTTTTACGCGGTTTGCACTTGTTTATGTTCGTGCATCAATGGGTTAACATTGTCATGCCATACGTTAAAAAATAAATACAAATGGGAAGTATATAAAAATTCTCCTGTATAAAAACTCTTTACATGTCTGTTTAAATATAAAAGTATTGCCTATAAACTCGTGCAAAACATGTAATTAATAAAAAAAACTTCAGTGCGTCTGATCATTTGCTCTATTTGTTATAGTATACTAATATAGTACCTGATATAATGATTGTATTATATTTATATAATATATCGTCGCATTTATTCAATCGTTTCATTTCACCCATTGATACAGGAACGTAAACAAGTGCAAATCGCGTAAGAGCAGTAAAGCTGTACAGAGATAATTAAGATTTTACATAGAATCTTAGGGTGCGTCTAGTCATTTTGCCGGTGATTGTATAGTTAAAAACTGCCAAAATAGACATTTTATTTTCAATGAAAACAGCGTGTCTGGCGCATACAGATGTAGAACTAAGAAAAGCGAATGAAATAAGCCTAGTTGGAAACAATTGTTACACTTCTGAAGCAGATGGAATCTCTCAGAGTTATATTTAAATTGTCTCCCTCCGACAGACATCGCAGCTTCTAATTTTGACGGATGAAGTCCTTCCTGTCACTTTCATGTCAAGGAAGTTCTCATCTGTAGTTCTCTCGTTTTAACTTCCACAAATCAGTTATTCTATGCAGATTAACTGGAATCATCCCCCCCCCAAGGAATGTTTAATTTACCTACAGTCTCAGGTCATATTATTCTACGCACTCATAAGATTCTATGTAAAATCTTAATGATCAGGTGATACTCTATACAGCTTTATTGTTTTTACGCGGTTTGCACTTGTTTACGTTCCTCTATCAATGGGTTTACATTGCAATGTTATACGTTAAAAAATAAATTTAAATGGGAAGTATATAAAAAATCTCCCGTATAAAAACCCATTACTTGTCTGTTTAAAATATTAAAGTATTGCCTATGAACGCGTGCAAAACATGTCATTATTAAAACACTACAGTGCGTCTAATCATTTGATCTAATTATTATAATATAATGCTTGATATAATAAATATTCNTGGAATCATCCCCCCCAAAATGTTTCATTTACCTACAATCTCAGGTCATATTATTCGACGCGCTGTAAGATTCTATGTAAAATCTTAATGATCAGGTGATACTCTATACAGCTTTATTGTTTTTACGCGATTTGCACTTGTTTACGTTTCTGTATCAATGGGTTTACATTGTCATGTAATACGTTCAAAAATAAATACAAATAGGAAGTATATAAAAAATCTCCCGTATAAAAACCCATTACTTGTCTGTTTAAATATTAAAGTATTGAACGCGTGCAAAACATGTCATTATTAAAACACTACAGTGCGTCTAATCATTTGATCTAATTATTATAATATATAGCTTGATATAATAAATATAATATATCGTCTAAATTATCATCAAATTTACATTATATGTCGTCTCATTTACCCCATTGATCCACGAACGTAAACAAGTGCAAACCGGTTTGAGTCGTGTAAAAACAACAAAGCTGTATAGTATCACCTCATAATTAAGATTTTAGATAGAATCTCATACCGCGTTTAATAATTTTACCAGGGACTGTAGATAACGCATTAGCAATGCCCGCGCTATGGATTTCAAATTATTAGCCAGTAAATAAGCCAAACAGCAAATGTATTCGCCAGTTTTCGAAAGTCTTCGCCAAATGCAATTTTTTATGATTAATTTCTTTTCCCGTAGAAAACTATTTCACGGTTTCAGGCTTATAGTATTTGGACCCAATTCTATAATAGGTTATGCTGCGCATTTACCGAAATTTTCTTTAAACGAATAAAAAATACTGATTTGTTTAGAAAAATTCATTTTGAAGTAACTTAGAAGATCGAGTTAAATATATATTTTTATTTCCAGTGGGAAAAAAATCATTCGTCAAAATACAATTTTATTCTCTAAATTTACGATTTTATCGCATTTGACGAGAGCGAAGTGCGGTCCTTACATTCGATATTACAGTACGTTATCTTGATTATCTGCACATTGGGCAGTCATAAGAATCTTTGATAGAACAGCAGCAGCGTTTTTATAGTAATATAATATTATTCATCAATTTTGTTTCCATTTAAGGAATCAATAATATATTCAACAAGTTTGTTGATAGAATCAATCGATTAAACAATTACAATACGAAAAATAAAAAGGTTTCAAGCATTTCACCAATCGAGAATGTTATAACAAAGAGAAATAAACATTTGAGCTTAAAAGTTGCGTCTCCCACTTTAATTTCGAGAATTTATCTCTTTTTTTTAAATTGATGTGAATATAAATAGACTAAGTTACAGACTGTTTAGTCTGAGCGCTAAGTCTATGATTGATTTCGAGTATTTAATTTCTAGTATTTATTCCTTTTCGAATATTTAATCATTTTTCCTCTAGTATTTATTTATTTTTCCTCTAGTAATTATTCTTTTTCGAGTATTTAATTTCGAGAATTTATTTCTTTCCTTTAATCGATGTGAATATAAATAGACTAAGTGACAGACTGCTTAGTCTGCGCTCTAAGTCTATATTTGATTTCGAGTATTTAATTTCTAAACTAATACTGACTTCTGTCTCTACTGACGTCTGTTTATGATAAGACTCTTTCTAAAATTGAACTTCCTCAGAAACAACAAACAATGGTCTGGAGCAAATCGTTTTTAAATCGCTCGGAAAATTTTTTCTTCCTCTTTGACGTTCGGGAGAAGAGCTTTTGTGTATTGAAAAGTTTTATTTGGAAACAATTCAAATCGTCAGATGTGGACTTAAAAGTGTTATTTCAGAAGAGAGATCTTCCTAAAATAATTCTAAAAATAATTCCATAAGGCGATGCACCTGCTGAATGAGATAACTGAAAAGATACCGCGCTCTCCCACAAAAAAAGTTTTTTCTTTTCCTTCCGAAATTTTACAGGCAAATGTCGGCCCACTTGCTTGACGTCACGTGACTCCTATAGGCACCACCGAGTCTCTCATTGGTCGAGAGAAAAAATGACGCTTTCAGCTCTGATCGAGAAAGCGCTCTCGCTTGTTCCGATGTTAAATACAATTCTACAGTATTGGACACTTTGGACTAGAATCGAGAATTGAATAATCGTTTGCTTCGAACAAAGTTGTACTAAATACAAATCTACAGTATTGGACACATTGGACTAGAATCGAGAATTGAGTAATCGTTTGCTTCGAACAAAGTTGTACTAAATACAATTCTACAGTATTGGACACATTGGACTAGAATCGAAAATTGAATAATCGTTTGCCTCGAACAAAGTTGTACTAAATACAATTCTACAGTATTGGACACATTGGACTAGAATCGAAAATTGAATAATCGTTTGTTTCGAACAAAGTTGTTTTACTTTTGGTGTATTCGAATTTGTTTATAAATGGGGGTGGAGGAAGAACAAGCTACCACCGGGTCGAGTCCATCACCAGATCTGAACGAGAAGACGCAAGGCAACGAATCACCAGCTATCGTAACCCTCTCGTTATCAGAACTTGGTAGTATTTTTTCTAAAGCGGCGCAAAGCGTTGCTTCAGATGGAGATGAAAATAAAAAAGATGATTCTTCTGAATCTCAATCGAATCAGGACACAATTTCGGACACTATCGTGGTTATTCATAAGTGTGAAGATTCGGAAGACGCAAATGAATCATCACCAATAGTCGAATCCGCTGAAACCGAGGAAGTTGCTGGCGGTAAGTACCAACACGTACATAAGTACCAATACATACGTACTAATACATACTGACTAAGTTTGGTAAATTCGTGATTCAGTGAGAACACTTATTCATATTTTTTCTCGCAATTGTTTACTTGAAATGTCAATTTTGTTTTAAATAGTTCTGAAAATTATGTTGTTGAAATGATGGTGAAAATAATGCTTTTCCAATTCATATTTTATTTCCATTTTTTTTTCTCTTTTCATATGTTTGTCTGAAAAATATAAGATTTAACACTTGTTACTAGCTCATATTTAAATGACATTGCAAAATTCTTATTTTATGTTAGTTATTCCTATACTCAACCTTTTATTTTTGAAACTTCAACACAATAAAGTTTCAGCTAAATCTTTACAATAATGGCATATATTAGTTATTATTGGGAAAATTGTTGGGCGTAGTATTTTTAAATTTTAAACCTCTGCGAAAGATATTAAATTATTGAATTCCTAAATTAATAATTCTTACTTTATATTTGTACCGTAAAAATAACTCAACTGACTTTTTATGCACATCGTATAAAAGTCAGTTGAGTTATTTTTACGGTGTACTGTATTTATAAATTTTAGTACCATTGAATACGAAAAATGGTGGCAGAAAAGAACAATTTTTTATGTTTTACTACACAATCAACCAAAAGTTATCTATGATGTATCACTACATTACGTTGTTGTTACATCCATTTTCCGTGTTTATTTGCACTAAAATTATTTACGTGTAGTGTTAGTGATAGCTTTGATCATAATTCATATAGTTGAATCATAATTCTTATTCATTGTCGATGAATCATGATCAGAATTCTTACTTTATATTGCATCACAAAAATAACTTAACTGACTCTTATGTATCTTATCTCACCGTAATTATAAATTTAAGTGCAACTGTGTACCGGAAATAGTGGCGGCTAATTTACACCAAGAAGTGAAGAAGAACATTTTCGATGTTTTACTAAACAATCAACCAAAAGTTATCTATGATATATCACTACATTACATTGTTGTTGCCCTCATTTTCGGTGTTAATTTGCACTAAAATTCTTTATGTGTAATGTTGGTGATAGTGTTGATCATAATTCATATGGATGAATCATAATTCATATCTATTGTTGATGAATCATGATCATAATTCATATCGATGAATTATGATTCATTGTAGATGAATCATGATCATAATTCTTACTTTATATTGCATCGCAGCTGCGTGCGAGAAATACTGGCAGCTAATTTACACCAAGTAGTGAAAAAGAACATTTTCGTTGTTTTACTACACGATCGACCAAAAGTTATCTATGATGTATCCCTATATCACATTGTTGTTACCACCATTTTTGGTGTTAATTTGCACTAAAATTCTTTACGTGTAGTGTTAGCGATATTGTTGATGAATCATAATTCATACATATGAATCATAATTCATACATATGAATCATAATTTATACATATGAATCATAATTCCTACATATGAATCATAATTCATACATATGAATCATAATTCATATGGATGAATCATGATCATAATTCTTACTTTATATTGCATCGCAGCTGCGTGCGAGAAATAATGGCAGCTAATTTACACCAAGTAGTGAAAAAGAACATTTTCGTTGTTTTACTACACGATCGACCAAAAGTTATCTATGATGTATCCCTATATCACATTGTTGTTACCACCATTTTTGGTGTTAATTTGCACTAAAATTCTTTACGTGTAGTGTTAGCGATATTGTTGATGAATCATAATTCATACATATGAATCATAATTCATACATATGAATCATAATTTATACATATGAATCATAATTCCTACATATGAATCATAATTCATACATATGAATCATAATTCATATGGATGAATCATGATCATAATTCTTACTTTATATTGCATCGCAGCTGCGTGCGAGAAATAATGGCAGCTAATTTACACCAAGTAGTGAAAAAGAACATTTTCGTTGTTTTACTACANGAAAAAAATGTAGACTTAAAATCTAATAAATCATGTAAATATATTTTTAGACAGCAACCAGTATTTACATAATTGCGAGGTAGTTCCAATTTTTTTGAACACTTCTATTTGAATATTTAAAGTGGTAGTAAATTTTAAGATTTAATATTTTATTATTGATTTAAATTAATTTTAATTTAATTTCGAACGATTTTTGACACATCTACATAAAAACAATTTAAACACTTTTATGAAACCTTTCAATTGTTCTTAGAAATTTTTAAATGCATGCAAAATTGAAAAATTTAAGATTAATTTAAATTGTTATTTGCTACCATTCTAAATATTCTGGGTAGGCAGTACATCCAGGTTGGTAGCTATGGTATTTAAATAGCTAAAAATGAAATAGTTTTTTATTTTTATTTTATGTGTATGTATTTTGATCACTTGAATTTCTTGATCAACTGTCTTATAATGATCTTAATGAACAAATATCAAATTTGGAAAAGAACTTAATTCCCACTTTATAAGGTGACCACTTGTCTAAATGGACCATTTAAGAGTTCTCCCAACGTTGATCGACCAAACAAGCTTTACTATATTTACATATATAGATAAGACTCTGCAACATGATCAGTCATGCTTCTCCGACCCCACTGAACCGATTAATTTCAATTTTTTTAGCATATATATATATATATATAATATATATATGTGTGTGTGTTACTCTATTGTGTGCAGAAAGCAGATGGCTATTGAGATCGATCAATTGAGTCAGCGCCTGGCTGAAGCTGAAGCTAAAGTGAAGACCGAAGTTGCCCGCATCAAGAAGAAGATGCAGGTGACCATCACAGAACTGGAGATGAGTTTAGACGTTGCCAACAAGCAGAACATCGACATGCAGAAGACCATCAAGATACAGTCTACCAAGATCACGGTAAAAAAAAAAAATTTAAATTATTTAAAGAATAATATTTAAAAAAAAATTTTTTTTAATGTATCGTATGAATGTAAGGTTGAATCGAAAGAAATTTTTTTTTAATATTGTTCCGCTCTTCTGTTTGATCTTTTTTGTTGTTAAAGTGATGTTTTGATTTGTAGGAGTTGCAAGCTCATTATGATGATGTGAGCCGACAGCTGAATCAAGCAATTGATCAATTGGGAGTCTCTCAAAGGAGAATCCAGGCTCTTATGGCTGAACTGGAAGAGCTCAGAGTCTCTCTTGAATCCGTGAGTTTCATTGAAATTATAACTGTTTAAATAACTAAATATGTAGTATTATAACTGTTATTTTGTTAGAAGAGCTCAGAGTCTCTCTCGAATCCGTGAGTTTCACTGAAATTATAACTGTTTAAATAAATAAATATGTAATATTATAACTGTTATTTTGTTAGATGAGCTCAGAGTCTCTCTCGAATCCGTGAGTGAAATAACTCTAAAATATTTTGATATAAAAACTGTTTAAAAGAGAATCTTACGAGGCGTGACAATGAATGGGAAATTCATTTTTTTTCTTCCACTAAACATACTTTAAATAAAAATTTCAGAGAAAAAAATTATTTCAGTTGCATTTTAACATTACGCAAAAAATAGTAATTTTCACAGTTGTCCCTGAAACGGTAATGTTTTAATGCAAAGTAACGCCTAGTCTGAGTTTCAATTCTGCATTTTTTTAGCATCGATAAAATATATTGTATGAAGTGATTCAGTTTAAACAGGCCCCTTTACGAACGAAAGTTTTAATGTAACAAAACTAAACTTGTTGTCTTTACGAGACTGAAACCGGTTTGCACCTGTTTACGTTCGTGCATCAATGGGCTCAATGAGACAATATATAATATAAATTCGACGACTGGATAAATCAGACAATATATTATATAAATATGGACTATTTATTATATCAGGTATTATATTAGTATATTACAATAAATAGACCCAATTATTGGACGCAGTGTAATTTTTTAGTAATGACATGCTTTATACGAATTTATATCCATACTTTTGCGTCTTCAGTTTTGACCAGTGCTCCGAAAAATCCTATTAAGAGCGATTATTACGAAACACCCTGTTATAACATCAGCTACTTTATACGTAAGAAACTAAATGTATATCTAATGGGAAAGCATAAAATTTCCATTCTCTTCAAATTTTTTATTCATGTTGCGTAAAATTTTTTTTCTAGTGTTTATACGTAATAATAAGTTATGCTAATAAAAAAGATAAGCACTATCTTTATAGTGCTATTTGGAAATAAGCCTTCTTTCGCAGAAAAAGAAGAAATATCAATAGCAGGAATTCTTTTCTTTAGAAAAACACGCGTATTCCCCAGTTTCCTTTATTCATTACATAAAATGTTTTATCTCTCGTTTATCCATTATAATTATTGCCGCATTCAAGCAAATAAAATATACTATACCATGACACAAAAGTAACGGCATTTATGTTTATTATATGATAATCCATTTATTTTAACAATAATAATTTGATTTTTATTAATAATATTTTTATTAATTTAGTGCAATACAGTGATTTTTAATTTTTTTTGTTTTTAATAAGTAAAATACTATTAAAGAAGGATTATGAAAGGGTTTATTAAGGTTTAATGAAAAAGTAAAATCGTGGATCATTTTTGAACAATCGAAAAAAATAAATGAGTTTATACGTCGTATTAAAATACTGATTTTTTTTTACCATAAGTTTACTTCTGCGGAATTCTGAAACATTGTAAATGCTGCCAGAAAGATTTGCACTTTTCGCACAATGAAAACAAAAAGGAACGAGAGGAAAAAGAAGAAAGTTAATAAGTTTTGTATATTGTATTGATATATTTTTCTTTGGCTATATTGATACAATATTAGAAAGCACTCTGCAGCTGTTATCGTTTGAGCTGATGAAGAGATTATATCGTTTCTTTATTTTGTTTACCGGATTATAATTTTTTTTTAGATAATTAAAAAATGAATTTTTCTTAAATACTTTTGAAAAATATTTTAATAATTTTCCTCTCTTGTCATTATTTTTAATTATTTTCTCAATATTTTAACTTTATATATATATATATATATTATTACAACATGGCCCTATATCTCCTTTTAATATTGGACAACGCATTATAACTACCNCATGTGTTTATCAAGCTGGTAATATAGACCCTTTTGTTTTTTATCATAATATGGAAGATAGTGTTCACTTTCTTAATGAACTTATCTTATTTCAATGTAATGGTAGTGAGGAAGGTGTGAAAGAATTACTAATGAATATATATATATATTATGGATAGACGTTTTTACTTATAGAATGAGCAATTACATTATCAGTTAGATTAATAGCATTAAAATAGTTAAAAAAATGACATCGTAACAATTATTACTGAGAGTCAAGCTCTCAGTAATAATAATAATATTTCAAAAATTGCAAATTCCTACTGAGACTCCTAAAGAACCTAAAATATCGTCTTTTCCTACTGATTGATTGTAACATATTTTTGTAGATATTTATTCAACTCCTATTATTAGTTCACCCTATATCTTGTTCAAATTTTCAATCGATCATAAGATACTCTTTATTCATTCACTCAACTTCAAATAAATTTTGTTTTAAACTTATATTTCATGACACTTGATGTTAATACATTTTGTTTCAAATATTAATTCATGAATTAAATGTAATGAATTAATTTCAGTTTTATATGGGAGCAAAAATTGTAATTACGCAATAAAGCGTCATTAAAATAGAGTTTTTCTTTGTTGCCTTGTCTTAATTTTTTTTAAATATTACTTAGTGTAAATTAAAAGTAATATATTGTCGCTCACAGAGAGACACGAAGAATTCGTGATTGTGACTCAGCATTACACACACATCTCACCTATTAGACTCAAAAAAGGTGACACGAATCTGTGTGGACATATAGCCGACACTCGAACCATCACGATAGTACAGCTCAGCACCTTTAAACCACCGAGCCACCGGGCCTCAAACTCCTCGCACTGTTGCTACTCAGTCTCGATCACGCACAACGTTGGCCTACGTACACTCGACTGCTAATGACAACACAGGTGCAACCACGACCGCGAACTTAATACAGCTCTCACCATCAGCAAAAGTACGGTGATCGTAATACAGCTCTCCGGGCTTCTCACAACACTGCAATGAATCCACTAGTGGCATCCGTTCATCAAATTCTATCGCAGCTGCAATTCTGGCTGGGGGAGTACTGTAGTGTGTCTACCACAACATAAATACCATTCCAATTCAGTAGTATATAAGACATGTTAACTCGATTCTATGGTGGGTTACCTTTTCATAGATGAGGATTGACATTGTCCATAACAACTTTACCCACAAAGTTGTTTCTGCATGAAATGTGTAATAATTCCCATATTTATTTTCAGACGTTGAGGGCGAAACGTGCCCTTGAGCAGTCCCTGGATGAATCACACTCCAAGATCTCAGAACTGACCACCATCAATGTGAACTTGACCTCCTCAAAGAGTAAACTAGAGAATGAATTCCTCACTCTCCACAACGACTACGAAGAGATATCCAAGGAACTCAGGGTAATTACACATTCTCATAAGTATAATAACAGCTGAGGAATTTAAGGTAAAAATAATAGACTAACACTTTAACAGCTGAGGAATTTAAGATCAAAAATAGACTAACGGTTCAACAGCTGAGGAATTTAAGATAAATAATANACAGAAAACTGAGGAAGGAAGAATATAACCTACTTTAACGAAATTCAACAAAAAAAAATAGATCAGAAGGCAAAAATGGAAATACATAAAATCGAACTGAAAGTAGCGCAATAAGCCTAAGAAAATTACCACGCTCTATACCAGTGTTTCCCAAACTTATGACTATTGTGTACCCTTTCTACATTTTTCGTAACGCTGTGTACCACTAATAAAAAAATGAATGTATATTTTAAAAAATATGTTTTTTTTAACATATTTATTAATAAAAATATATGTTTTAAAAATATGTTTTTATTAACATATTTTAGTTATTGACTGTTAACTCTGCAAAAAATTGCCAATAAAAAAAACGTAATCGTAAATTTTCATGGTTAGCTTTGTTTTTAAATAAATTTTTGTTGCAATATTCGTTTGTTGCAAGGTATTTCGCATACGAACGCGTACCCCCGTTAAACTGATCCCGTACCCCTGGTACCACACTTTGGGAAGCACTGCTCTATACGAACATTGCTTTTTCGATGCAGACAATAGAGTCATGGTGACTCAGGGGATAGAGTTTTCGCCTCACAATAAGATAAACCGGTTTCGAATCCCAGCGATGACGGGTCGATACGAATTCCGCACCCGACTCGCATCTACCACAGTGATGACGTAAATTATCCTCAGAGGTTGACGGATCATGGGTTAGAGTCACCTTGCCGTTAGGCAAACCATGGGTGGTTTTCCCATCTATGTAACGCAAATGTGCATGAGTTCCATCAAAAAGTCCTTCACAAAGGCAAGTTTCTCTCAATGCTTGATTTAAAAGTTCCCTTGTCTTCTGTATTGGGTTCAAAATGACAAGGTTAGGAAGTTGAGCATGAGTAGTCGCAAACCCAAAATTGGGTCGACTGTTCAACGACGGTTATAAAATAACGTAAATTAGAGACAATAAAGAAAAGGCACGCTTCCTAACAATTCGCATACTCACCTAGTATTTAACATACAATTAAACAAAAAGGAAACTACAAAACAGGTGTTTTAGTCTTACATTACGTATTATTACCCTCCTATGATTTGCGCAAAAATCTGGCCGAGATAGTCTGCTGGGTAGGGCCGATGTTCAAGAGGTCGTAAGTTCGATACCCGCCTGCCGAAGACTCTTTGTGCATAAGATAGTGATTGGTGCATGTTAAATCTGTCGAGGTCACAAAGTCCTCCAAGTTCCTATAACAAATCAGGAGGTATTTGATCGGAAATGGATCGCGTTCTGGTTCAGATCAAGATTACGATCTCCGGGTGAACGGATGGCGTGTGAATGAGGTTCTCCCTGTAAAACGGGCCTTGACGTATGTGTGTGGCAGAAGTCAAATAATCGGCCATACATTTCGCGTCTGGAAAACAAGAAGATCATTCCTCTTCCTTAACACTAGATTGCCTACGGAAATCATTTTGACTACTTTTTAATTTCAATTCGAAAAACAATGATGTATATAATGACACAATTTCTTAGAATTTTGTTCAACATTTAATTTTTTTATCTTTAATACTTGCCAATAACTTGTTATATAACTGTAAGTAATATAAAAATTTAAAAAAGTAATTTTAAGCAAATTTCTTTACACATTATTTATTCTTTTACAATCCAGTCATTTTGACTGTTTTCAGGCAATATATGTAGATACTAAGTTTCGGTCTTTCCAGTGTTAAAATGGCCTTGACAGTATTTACAAGCGGCATAAGACAGCTACAACAACAAAAGCTCAAATTTATAATCCATTTTTGATAGTGGGTAACATTTTGAAAATACCATCCATCTTACCACCAAAAAATCAAATGTGTGTTTGTATAATAAGTGAGGGGAATTACTTTTTTAATGAATCAATCCCAAATGCATTTTAACCCCTTGCTTACGGTTCTTAGTACGAAGCCTTTCTGGTTCACCTGTTGTACCAACCGTAAGCAGAAGGTTAACGGAACATAACTGGAATGACAGTAGAAAATTTACTTTTATTATTATTATTACTACTGCACTGCTGTTGTTGTTGTTGTTGACGCATGCCTGTTGAGGGAGATGGGGTGCGATTATTCTTGTTTTCCAGTGGCGCCATCTATGGCCAAGAATTCAACTCCTGCCACACCACACGTCACACCCGTTCATAAGGCGAACCCATTCATTCATCCACAGATCGTAATTTAGACCTGAATCTGAGAATGATCGATCTCAAATCCCGTACCCCCAGATGTATTGATTTGTTATGGGAAAATGGAGGACTTTGCGACTCGACAGATTTAACGTGCATCAGTCATCATTTTACTGCACTGGGAGTCTTCTGCCGGCGGTGTTCGAACCCACGAACCAGGCTATCCCGTTCCTTATTACTACACTAATTGATGACTATTTATTGCAGGTGTCGGACGAGCGTTACAACAGAACTGTAGTGGAATTGAAATCAACAAAAGATCTTTTGATCGAAGAGCAAGAGAGGAGCATTAAGATCGAATCCATCAAGAAGTCCCTGGAGGTAGAAGTGAGAACCCTGCAGGTCAGAATAGAGGAAGTAGAGACGAATGCTTTGGCAGGTGGAAGACGGGTCATCAGCAAGTTGGAATCCAGGGTATTTCATTACACATTTCCTTTACTTCTTCTTTTATAAATTAAAGCAAATTTCATTTCCTGTTCCACTGTGGGCCAGCGATCTTTGGCCAAAAGTCAAAAACTAATTTTTCAACCAAAATATGTGTAGGCAGTTTTAATATATCCCAAATTAAGTATTCATAATCATTCCAAACATTATCATTTACTTTTTGGACCGACGAGAGTACAATGTTATGAAAAATATGTTTAAAAAAATTGTTTTAAATGTAACCTTTAAATTTTATATTTCAGAAATATATATAGGAATTTCACCTTACTGTTACATTTTTATAAGAGTAATTAGTGTTAAATTATAGTACATTTTTTCAATGTGATGGATGAGTTAATACTCTAGACACACTTGTTTATATGTTATCTTTTGATATTTTACAAAATTTGAATGACTTTCGAAAATTAGTTTCAAAAAGATCCACGAGTTCATTAGCAAAACTTTTTTGTTGTTGCCTTCTTTGATGTTTCTTCTTTCGAAAAAACCTGCCCCATTTTGCCCGTATTGCAAAGGAGGATTCAGTATACCAAAAAACAAAAATTGTTTTTTTTCTTCATGTTTTCGCATTATTTTGTAATATTACATCGGAAATATAATTTGATTTTCATTTTTAATATAAAATGACGAAAATTATTATATTTTCATTTCTATATTTAGTTATTTAAACGTACTACATTATTATTTCTTTTTTTTGCTCGCCCTATTTCAGCCGCCATTTTGCTTTTTTTGGGTATTTTTAGTGTATTTCAAAATTTCAACTATGAATTCAATTTACATGCCCCAAATTTTGAAGCAAATTTTATCGAAATACTAATTTTGACCATGAAACCTTGGATGCTGGCCCACTGTGCTGAGTAGAAATGTTTTTTTTTCATTTATCTAAGAGAAATAATCTTCTGTTTGATTTAAAAATCGAGGCGAAGATTAATCTATCTTATGTTAAATTCTCTGCTTATAGTCCCCTACGTTTCTAATTTTTTAAACGATTATTTTTTTATAGAAAAAAATAATAATTAAAAGGATAAATTGGAAAGATTATTTCCAGCAATTAAGCACAATAAGAAATATCTATAATGTACATGTTACTTTAAATAACCGAAATCAAGAAAATGTCGACTTTCACCGATGAGTGTCAGCCATCACATAGTCGCTTTGGTAAATGTCCGACATATTTTGTTATATCTGATTTGATATTAACTGATATTATTGCACTTATTTGATATTTGGTGTCCGCTTTGGTGTCCGACATATTTCCGACATATTTGTTATATTCGATTTAATATTAATTTATTTGCTGGTATGATTATATTTATTCGATACTTTAATATCTGTTAGATTAGGAGAAATGCCAGTGTTCGGAATACCGGCTAAATACATATTGAGCAACAGCACTTGATCTTTTTTTTAAAAAAAAACATTGATGTAGGGCACATACCGGGCAAGTGTATACAGGGCACTGAATCTTATGGTAGGCAGATCACTGGTAGGCAGATCTGGTTTTTTATGGTAGGCAGATCAGATCTTATCACTGAATCTTAGAATGATGTCATTGGTGACGAAGTCATTTTGACTGTATTTTAATTTCAATTAGAAAAACAATGATTTATATAATGACACAATTTCTTTGAATTTTGTGACTTTTTGCACAACCTATAATTTTTTTTATTTTGAATATTTACTAATAACTTGTTATATGACTGTAAATAATATAAAAAAATTTATTTTACCCCTTAACGGGCCTTTTATTTCTAGTAAAGGTGAATTAAAGTATTTTTGGAATGGAAATTGTTTTAAGAACAGTAATTGATATAAAAAAAACTCATTTAGTTTATAAAAATGCCATTTTTTTGGTGGTAAATATATTTAACATGACCTATTAGGAACTTGCTGACTTTTATTTTTCTTTATTTATAAAATAAATTCCTTAAATGCTACACACTTCAAAAGGAATTATGTGTTTTATAACTTTTATACGTTTTTTAAAAGTGACAAATGGTTACCAATTTTATTCAAACTCACTTCAAGAAAGCTGAAGTTATTGAAAAATGGAAACCTAAATTAAAAGTGGTAAAACGTGGTAGTGGTAAGTATACTTACCACGGCCTTCAAAAGGGTTAAACAAATTTCCTTACACATTAGTTATTCTTTCACAATCCAGTCATTTTGTCTACCTTTGAGCACTATAGCTATGTACTAAGTTTCAGTCTTTCTAGTGTTAAAAAACATGGATGTAGGACATACCGGGCAAAATGCATACTGGGCAGTGGCACTGAACCTGAAAAAAACATTGATGTCGGGTACATACCGGGCAGTGGCATTGAATTTTAAAAATAAACATCAGTGTAGGGTATACCGATCAAATGTATACTGGCACTTAAGTAGATCTAATATATATTTCGAACATTTACCAAAGCGACTATGTGATTCGATATTTGTTCCGACATCGATTGACATTAGTTTAAATAATTGTTTTAAATCGTCTGCCAACTCTTGTGAAAATAATAACTGCAACTCTGGCTGGTTGCTAAGCAACCCAAACGATTTTTTCTTGTTATTAATGTTTTTTTTTTTATCGTTCGTCTGCGTATGTGTGTGGAAATAAAAGAATACTAAAGCTGACAATATTCTCTTGATGATTTCGGTCATTCACATATTTGGTTTTTATGTACGTAATTCGGAGTGAAAGAACAAAAATGTTATGTCTGTCACAAAATAAAAGAGTGTGCATTATTTTGTGATCTAGATTCGAGACATAGAGTTGGAGTGTGAGGAAGAGAAGAAGAGACACTCAGAGACTGTGAAGATGATGAGGAAGAAGGAACACCGAGTGAAGGAGTTGCTGTTGCAGACAGAAGAGGATCACAAGACAATCACCATGTTGAACGACGCCGTCGAAAAACTCACAGAGAAAGTCAAGGTCTACAAGAGGCAACTCAACGAACAGGTAATCCCTCTATCCCGCAAAAATTTTCACGTCTTGGCTGGCTGCAAAAAGATAGTCAGGATTGGGTACTATTCGAGTGATGCGTACATTTGTTACTAGTAAATAACAATTTATGAAAAGTAGTGATCATCATAATAATAAATGCAATAAAAATAATAGTAGTCATATAATAATGATAATAATAAATGCATTAAAAATAACAGTAGTCATATAATAATAATAATAATAAATGCAATAAAAATAATAGTTGTCATATA